ATATTTATTTCCTAATTGTTTATGGTGGTTATGATATCAGTGAACAGTCATGAGTACTATTATTGTCGACTTATTAGTAGTAGTAGAGTATATATTTTTGTTATAAAAATACTGTTATAACAGTATTTTTTCATTATTTTTGCACTACATTACAATGTGATTATTGTATCGCTAGCAATGATCAAATTTTGAAGAGGTTAAATCCCCAAACACATAAATAATGACAGTAAGTTCTATATTCATGATGTCAGAAAAACATGTAGGTTCAAGAAGTTTTAATATAAAACGATAAAAAGAAAGGTCTACCTTTCGAAAGCCCTCGGGTTATAGGGTTTTTATCCTTTTTATAGTAAATTATATATGCTATGTAGAGAGTGATACTTAAAGTTAGAAGTGGATGTTCTTTGGAGAGCATGTGTTTTGGCATTTCGAACATAGTAATCTATAAAGAGATCCTTACCTTATATAAAGTTAGTGAAGTTATGTAGATGTGCGTACTTGTGTTTTATATTTCTGAAACTGATACATGTTTTGTAGATATCAATGAATGTGTCCATTTCCCTAACATCTGTATGAATGGAAGATGTCATAACACCATCGGAAGCTTCAACTGTCAGTGTAACCAAGGGTTTGCTCTTGATAAACTTAATTTGAATTGTACTGGTAAGTTCAGATGAAAAGTTATCAATGAAAACAATGTGAATGTTTTGTAAAGATATGGCATACTGAAAAAGTAAATCGTATATTTTTGATGTAGTATGAAGATAAGGATAGAAATGTCAATATAAATAAATTATATTTCTCAGGAAACAAGAAATATCTTGTATTACTTTAAGTAGTTATTCTATTATAAAGTGTAACAAGCTCATTTTAACATTTAATCACATATATTCATTTCCTTTTGATAAAGTATCTATTATTTTAAAAACAGCAAACTTAGAGTATTCAATTTTTTATTGTATGAATATATTCAAAATTCTTATCCAAGTAATAACTTTACTTTTATAGAAAATCTAGGAAACACCTCATAATTGTAAGTATTTATCTTGAGGTTAAAATAACTTAAAATATTGTCAATCTTTACTTCATTCTCAGACATCGACGAGTGTTCCATAGCCAGAGGTGTTTGTGCAAATGGACGATGTATCAACACTCTTGGTTCCTTCCGATGTGAGTGTAACGAAGGCTTTGAAGACACTATGATGATGCAGATGTGCATGGGTGAGTTTACATAGAGATTTTAAAAAAAATTTAATATGAAATCTTATTTTAACTTATTTGTTTTTTTAATTTTACAATAATTTTTATAAACGTTTCACAAGTTTTTGTATTGTTGAAAGAAACAAATGTTTCTACTTCTCATATTGCAGTTTTAATCTGTTTCCATCAGAAAGCTCTAGTGGTATTTTTTGTAGTTACAATCTATATTAATCACTTTAACAGTAGAAGCACTACTGGTAGGCTCTGTCTATACCCCCACCTGTTTTTGAAACATATTTTTCTAAACTGTGCACCTAATTACATGTGAATCCATAACTTTCTTGGTCACTTTCTTTCCCTGAAAACATATAATAACATAAAAAAGGTAAACAAAATAAAATACCATCAGTGGCACAGTTAATTCCACTAACTATTGCTGGGGTTTCCTATGTATCTCATTTAGAAAATTAGGAAATTTACCCACTTCATTTGGTCAGTTCTTTACACTGATTACTGAATATTCTACAATAGGCACACTCCATTGGTAGTGAAACGATACTGAAACAAATCAATAACTTGAAGATTCATAATCACTTTTTTTAATGATTCTATTAATTATTATGATTAGTTTATGCATTACAGATGATTAACTACACTTTATAGGAAAATTGTTTAATACAACATTGTTATGTTTTGCCGTATTTTTGGACCATAATGCCTTATGGCCAGATGCATTGAACAAAAACATAAAAAAAAAAGATTAGCATAAGGAGATTGCTTAATGACATAGACATAACATTCTGAAGAAAAAAGCCCTCAGTGTCCTTCATGATTGTGTACTTTCACACTGTGTGTTTAGAATAGCAACGGCCATTTAAATCATGTTCTGACAGGAGCCAGAAGTTCCAAGTCTTCCAGTCACATCTTTAAATAAGTGAATCTTTTCAAAAGAAAGTTGAATCAAAGGAATCCAATTAAGCCACATGCTTGTCAAATTCTCCAGTGCAGTTATAGTGGACTTCTGTGTTTTTCTGCCTGGATAAACATGACCTAGGAAGCTGATGCCCATATACGCTGGAAGATCAGTGGAGAGTTTGTCAAGATACATGGTTTAATTAGAGTGTCAGTTTCTGCCTGCATAAACATGACCTAGGAAGCTGATGCCCATGTACACTGGAAGATCAGTGGAGAGTTTGTCCAGATGCATGGTTTAATTAGAGGAGAGTCAGTTTCTGCCTGCATAAACATGACCTAGGAAGCTGATGCCCATGTACACTGGAAGATCAGTAGAGAGTTTGTCAAGATGCATGGTTTAATTAGAGGAGTGTCAGTTTCTGCCTGCATAAACATGACCTAGGAAGCTGATGCCCATGTACACTGGAAGATCAGTGGAGAGTTTGTCAAGATGCATGGTTTAATTAGAGGAGTGTCAGTCAGTAGTGCATAATCATAGCCATAAGACTTAGCATGACTGATGATGGAGAAAGTAGTTCAAAGGTCAGCACAAGATTTCGAACATCATTCTTATAAAGTGTGTTTAACCTTAGTTATGCCAAATGTATTTAAGGAGGACAGACACAAGCTATATGTGTAGACTTAGTGTATTTGATAACTAAAGTATAAGATTTATTTTCTAATACTTGTGTAATATTTGTTTGAAATAATATTTTCTTTCTCAGAACTCCTTTGATTTAAATACATATTTTAAAGCTGTTTTCAAGTTTAATCTCTTGTAATTTCACTTTAGGGATCTACCCATAAGTACTATGAATAAAGGGTAAAGTATTTATGAAAATTGGATTTTCAAGTTTAAGTAAACTTATACATAAATGTTTACATTTGTAGATATTAATGAGTGTGAAAGAAATCGAGGTCTTTGTCGAGGTGGGCAGTGTATTAACACTGTTGGTTCTTTCCGTTGTGAGTGCCCCCTTGGTCATGAACTGACTTCTGATGGAAGATATTGTAAAGGTAGAAATTTTATTGTAGAGATGTGTTAAAATTGGATTGCAAACCATGCTAAATACTCATAAAGACGTTGTTAAATTTTCATTATCAGTAAATGAATTTGTTAAGATATACCTCTAAATATATGATATTGGAAAAGGTTGCTTAAGCACTAGATATTATAAGTATACAATTCCAACAATATGTAGTGTTATAAATGGATTGTAACAGTATTGTGTTGTTAACATGTAAATGTTGCATCTTGCTGAAACTGGTAGAATTGAACACATGTTTACTCAAGTACAAGATTTCAAAGAGTAACTGTAAATGCTACAGATATTAAAGGTATAATGTTAAATTAAGCATGCTAATCCTGGTTCTAAGTGAACAAGAAATGGATCTTTTTGTTGTACAGATATAGATGAATGTAGTCGAACGAGTGGCATCTGCTCTAACGGTGTCTGCGAGAACATGATGGGCACATATCAATGTATATGTAATGAGGGATACAAGCAGACTCCTCAACTTACCAGCTGTGAAGGTGAAATTTGTTTTGTTATTTTTACTCTGAAATTCCATTTCATAAATATGCAACAAAATTCTGTGATTTAGTATATCGTTTTCTAAGTATATTTTGATCACCAAAATAAAAGAACTCGTAGACTTGACACTTATAAGAATACAGTTTTTTTGTGTTTGAACTTTTGTGTATTTTCTTTTTTTAAATAAAATATTTAATTAGACAGCTATTAAAATATAAGCTAGTTCTTCTCGTGTTTGTTGAGCATATTCAAGAGCGGAAGGTTTGTTATAGCTACTTTTAAGGTTTTTTACTTTCATTCATTTACTTCAAGAAAGTTCTGCTATAAAAACTAACACTTTTGTGCATCAAATAGTGATAACTTTGATTAATGAAACTATTTTGTAGAATAAAACTTTATGAGATAAGAAGTGATATGATCTTGTCAAAAATACTTACCTTCTTGAGCTTAATATAATAAAAGTAACCCTTAACATCATGACAGTAAGAAAAATACTTAACTCCTTGAGCTTAAGATAAAAAAAGTAACCCTTAACATCATGACAGTAAGAAAAATACTTAACTCCTTGATCTTAAGATAATAAAAGTAACCCTTAACATCATGACAGTAAGAAAAATACTTACCTTCTTGAACTTAATATAATAAGTTCTAATATAGAAAAATATAGAATTTGCTTATGATCCTTCTTGAGCTTAATATAATAAAAGTAACCCTTAACATCATGACAGTAAGAAAAATACTTAACTCCTTGAGCTTAAGATAATAAAAGTAACCCTTAACATCATGACAGTAAGGTCTAGGTGATAAGTGAGCATACACAAGATTTCATTTTGGCAAAAAATAAGTTAGAAATGAAACATTTGTTCTCCCAAAAAGAAGCTGAAAATTATTATATTAACATTTAGCATCATGACAGTAAGAAAAATACTTAACTCCTTGAGCTTAAGATAATAAAAGTAACCCTTAACATCATGACAGTAAGAAAAATACTTCAAAGATATATACTTTTAGGTGACAAGTTGGGCAAAGATGTATACTTTCTAGATGATAAGTTGGGCAAAGATATATATACCCCCAACTTATCATCTAGAAAGTATACATCTTTGCCCAACTTGTCCCCTAAAAGTATACATCTTTGCCCAACTTATCATCTAGAAAGTATACATCTTTGCCCAACTTGTCCCCTAAAAGTATACATCTTTGCCCAACTTATCATCTAGAAAGTATACATCTTTGCCCAACTTGTCACTCAGAAAGTATACAACTTTGCCCAAAAACCTTTGAAGATTACATTACCGATTTTCATACTTATTATATTTGTAATATATTCATGCATTTTATTTGAACTATAAGCTTAATTCTTGATGTTGCAATATCAGTTCTTTGTGCATTGAGTTAGATAACTCAAGCATTTTTTATTTTTCTCTGATTGTGCCCTACTTGTTTGTAATTTAGATCCATTTGTATATTTAAGAAATGGAATGTAAAATGAAACAGTGTAGTTCAGGTATATGTAAAAGTGTTTTTTTATCTAATGCTCTAAATATTACATATTTTTACACAGATATTAACGAATGTTCTGTTAACAATGGAAACTGTGAAAAAATTTGTATTAACACCCAAGGAAGCTACTCATGCAGTTGTAAGGAAGGATATCGACTGTTGTTTGATAAAAAGTCTTGTACAGGTGAGACTGACTTTATCTTTTTAGCTAAATCATTAGATGACCAATTTTCATGAGATGTTAATATTGGTATGTTATAATGATATTATTTCATTCTGTGTAGCGTGTATTGAGATCCTTTAAGCCATTTTAATGACATCCATGACAACATGTGCTTACATCTTGCACAAATGATAATTATTCACAATGAAATATTCAGGTGAATCAGATAATTGGAAATATTATTTCATTCCTAAGCTGCATTAGATGTTTTTATAATATTTTAGGAAGATATGAGGTTTAATTTATAATCTGTACGCAGATGCAAACTTTAATACATTATATTTTTTAACACAAACTGAAATTTACGAAGGTAACACTCGTTTGCAGTGGAACTGTGTATTCTGTCGTTTATTTGACAGCCTTGAAAATGACTTGAATGGGTCGTAGAATCAGTAGTAAGACAGTTCATTTTTTTATATTGTCATTGTTTTTTTGTTTGATAGAATGACGTTTGAAAAATGTGTACATCTTCAAGACTGAACCAGTCATGAGAAGTAAAACCAGTATGCTTCATTCAATTCAACAAGAAAGATTTGAAATGTTTGACATAAACGTTTTTTTACATCTTTCTTCTAAAGACTAATGAGACTCTCTCTTTATATGAAATATAGTTTAAGAAATGATCATCACCATCATAATTTAAGGAAACCAAACTTTAAAGATGGAAAATGAAAAAAAAAGTCCAAAAACAGAACATACAACAAAAAGCTATAAAGTAGATAGCGTGGTATGAAACTAAAACCTGGGAGAGGTACTGTCATTATAAGATTATGATATGTACTTCTTATTTGATTAATGTAATATACATCGCATATTTTATACTTTTGTCGTCTTAGTGTATTAGGGTGTATTCAGCTTTTCACTGTATTTTATTTCTTGAAGATCAAAATTTAGGGCTTCAGTTGTTCACCAACAACTTGACATTGTTATATTTTTCTTTAGTCTGTCATTCTTTGTTAGACAATGATGTTGCACCATAAATAAAATTCTTCTTTATTCTTATAAATCATTGTTTGCCAACCTATTATAATGATACTTCATGTTAAATTAACTTTAAGAAGCCCTTTGATTAGGTTCAAATATCATGCCAGAAATACCGAATTTGTGTATTTTTGTTTGTTTTTTATACACAAGAACAGATTGACCTACTTGATTTTTACATTTTTTGAATATCTAAAACAAAAAATTTTCTACTGTTTATATATATATATACATAACAATGTGTAGTAGCACTATGCTGACATATTCTTTTTTCTTATGATCACATCGTTACAAAAGTAAATCTGTGATATAAATAAAGTAACTAGAAATTTTGTCACACAAGCTCAAGGCATAATTAAGAGTTTGACAATGCTACAGAACTAATACAAAGTGTAACTTCATATAAATTTGATCATCTGACAGGAATGACTTTCAAGATATAACTAAAACATTTTTAAATGTTTTACTAAATTTTGTTTGATAGTATTAAAATTAGCAACTTAGAAATTTTAAATTCAACAGATATTGATGAGTGTAGAGAACTACCCAGAATCTGTAATGGAGGACAGTGCATAAATTATCCTGGTTCTCACGCTTGTCGATGTACTGAAGGACTCATGGAATCTCCTGATGGAAAGAGTTGTGTTGGTAAGCCACAGTTAGTCATTTATATGAAATATAGAAAGAAACTTTATAAACTGACACATTTTGTTATTAAACTAACTTAATTATTTCAAAAACAAAGTTTTTTAATAAAACTTATTTAACAAGTGATCTCTGACTAAAACAGAGAAAATTCAATAATTTGTTATGAGGGTAAGGTCCGTGTGAACTCTGGAAAGGTAAAAGTAAATTACAGGAATGAGCAGAACATGATGTGCTGACAAATTTGCTGCAGTTAGAAAGGTTGAAGGCAGCATAGGTGAAGAGTTACACTGTGACAAGGTCGAGTAGCTTTGAATGATTGTCAACAGTCAAGCCAAACCAAACATCATAAGTAGCTCACCACCACTGTTCATTGCGTCTCTGCCATTACCACTTCTCACACTTTTTGGAATTAGAGACCTCTTCTGGAAACTTCTTGAAAATAGCTGGTCAGTACAGAGATTTTCTTCACTCCAGGTACTTGCATCATCACTTTTGTGATAGATAAATGCTCTTTGACCTCTTGCAGATGATTTTTTTTGGTCATGGATATCTCATTGTTTTCAGAGAACATGATAAACAAAAATTTATTTTATGTTTTTAAATAGTGGTTTTAGGGTGGGTTTTTATTCTTCCCTGGCATAAAATTTATAAAAAGTTGACTGAATGAATATATATCACTAGCTAAAACCATGCCTTTGTAAACATTTTATTTACTTGTAGATGTTGATGAATGTGTATTGAACCTAAACCTTTGCCAAAGTGGAAGATGTGAAAATACTCTAGGGTCCTTCAAATGTCACTGTGATCCCGGATTCTCACTGAAAGAACTGAAAGATGGTTGTACGGGTAAGTTTGTTTTGATCCAAGAGAGGATTCTACAAATAAATTCATTATTATTACAGTACACCACAGAGCTAAAGGTACATTTTCAAATAACTAATGGAACATTAAACATTTAAATTATAATACATCATCAAAGAACAGAAGGAGTTGTTTTAATGTTGTTTCATATTCAGAGAACTGAAAGAAAATTTAACTGGGTAAGTTTAGTGTGATTCATGAGATTTTGTCAAAGAATTGCAGAGGATTATACATACAAGTTCATTTGTCTAAATAGGTCATAGGTTTGAAAGGTCATTCCATAAATGCACTGAATGAAGGTTGTACAAATAATTTCATTTTTATTCAGAATACTTCACTTAAGAGCTAATGGAAGACTGTGTATCTAATAATGGCTGGAGACGGCTTGAATGGGTATTATTATCCAGCCATTATTAGTCTCAAAGTGGGTTCCTCGTTATCGAAACTGTGTATCTAAATTCACTGTGGTCTAAGAATTCAATAGATAAGTACTATAGAAGGTCAGTATCTAAAACGTTTTCCTTTTGGGTGCCAAAATGACAACCAGTATTTCTAAATTGTTGTCACGTGAAAGTATTAGTGGTGTCCATCATCATAATTCATTTTGCCTAAAAGACAAATACAGCTGATGAAGGGACACCTGTCTGAAGAACTAACTTGGAGACAGGTGTCCCTTATCACCAAGTTAGTTCTTCAGACAGGTGTCCCTTATCACCAAGTTAGTTCTTCAGACAGGTGTCCCTTATCAGATGAACTAACTTGGTGATAAGGGACACCTGTCTGAAGGACCAACTTGGTGATAGGTGATATTTTGATGAATTCTCTGATATTTTTGGATACTAATGTTTTGCTATCCAGTTCTATGTAAGGAGCAAAAGGATAAACAATTCTGTAGGATACATAACTTCACCAGTCTTGTAAATCAGTTTCTTCCAGTTTTGATGTCTCCCAGTGGCATAGTGGTAAGTATGCATGCTTATAATGCTCATAACCAGGTTTTGATACCATTGGTGGACAGAGCACAGACATCCCATTGTGTAGCTTTTTGCTTAACAACAAAAACCCAGTTCTGATATTTGATATATAATGAAAATGCAAAATCAACCAGTTTGTTTAATGAAAAACCTTGTGTACTTCAGTAGTTATTATGCTAAAAACATAAGCATTGTCGACCATGGTTTTCTTTACATCAATATAAGAACAAAAATTCAAGACAGATGTATTTTTTTCTTCTTATTTTTTAAATATCCTAATCAAAGTAAATTTTATTTCCAAATTGTTCATTCCCATACAATTTGGTGTACATTCTGTAAGTAAACTAACATTCGTTAATTTATTAAAAGTGATTATTTTTATGCAATGATTCTAACTTTTTAGGCTTTGAAAAATACTCTGCTAAGAGTGTTGTGAGGACTGAAAGCTTGCAATAAAAAACCAAACAAAAAATACTTTAATGTTGTGAAAGCATTTGTGTAACTTACTTAGTTAAACTTAAATACCACTGCTATGTGTCTTCAAAAACCCTCACTTGACGAGTTTCACATGTGAACATCATGTTTCATGGAAACTGATTTGGCTATTTATATTATGAAGTAAATTCCAGGGGATATATTTTCATAAAAAATTCAGAATATTATGTAAAGTTAGTAATTAATAATTCTGAAATAATATTTGAAGAAATATGTTAAATCAAACATTTTAATTTTTGTTAAAAAAATAGGCTTTTGTAGTAATTGTTGAATGAATACATGTTAAATCCTTGGTGGACTGTCTGAATTAGTAACCAATGTATTTCTTTAATAGTCATATTGTCATTATCACACCAGTTTTTTTGTGTTTATTACCACCAAATCTAAAGAAGACTGTACAGGTAAGTGTTCTGTGTGTTCCAAAATACATTATCAAAGAACTGATAAAAGATCGTATAGGTTAAAATTTAATCAATAAGACAGACAGTTAAATCCCACTATTTGGTCTGACATAAGTAGCCTAAGAGTTGGTGGTGGGTGGTGTTGAATAGCTGCCTTCCCTCTAGTCTATTACTTTCAATTTGCACCTTAAGTAGCTTTGCAACAAGCAAACAAGAGTAAGGATATTGATATGAAGGGCACTTATGTAGTTGTTAATTTCTTTTTCTTTTCTTTACCAAAACATGAATGTCAGTGAAGAAAAAGATGATGTAGAGACCTAACCTATTCTTTGATTCACTACTCCAACTGCAGCAGACTAGCTTTGCTAAATTCACAGGTCATCAATGCTACTTGAAAGAGTGAAGCAAGTAAATAAAGTAGGCAGTGGTGGAATGTAAGCAGTTTGGTTTTAGTTTGTACAGTTCTTTACTCAACACTAAGGAAGTAGTGAATCAAAGAATGGATTAGGATTCTAAGTCTTTTCCTCACTGAAATCCACATTTTGGTAAAGAAAAGAAACTAACAACTAATTAAGTAACCAGTAGTCTGCTGTATAGTAATGGATAATTAATTATGACTGTATGTCATATGTTATCTAAACATCTAAAGTATTTTAGGTTATTAGTAGTGAGTAAAAGACTATACATCAAAACCAAACAAAATAAAGGATACTTCTTGAAACCATTGAAGAAGGATCATTCATTAAACAGTAAGCCATTAACCCAGGTATTCCATGAGAGAGTGCTTATAAAGTAAGTTTGGATCATGTCTTTTACCAAAATATTGAAGAAAGATTGTATTGGTAAGTACATTGTGAGCTGAGTCATATTTCTTATCTGTCTACCACTTAACTTCTCCAAAACAAATTAATGGTCTTATTTAAAATTGATATTTTTTCTTATAATTTTCTAAAAATCTAACTTAATTTTGTAAATTATTTATTAAAATTAGTATACTTGAAGCGTAACAAGTCAATTTTACAAAAAAAAAATTGTAGTTTAATATGCTGTTAAATGTATGAAGTGTGTGTGGACACCCATAATAATTCTTCTTCTTACAGATGATGACGAGTGTACCCTGAACACGGCTACATGTGATGAAAATGCAGAATGTACAAACACTGTAGGATCATATAAGTGTGAATGTTTCAGTGGTTTTCGTGGTAATGGAAGAACTTGTAGGGGTATGTAGTCAGTGTAATAACTGGAACAACAGAAAAAGTTTGTAATACTGTATATGTAATGCAGGTATCTCAATAGTAAGAGAATAATTTTAAATTAAAATGGTTATTTCAATAGTACAGTAATGGTTCTAATATCTGAATGAAAAATGTGTAAATAATATATAAAGGTCTTTACCTGTTTATTATAAGTTGATCATTAAAATGTTTTGGTGAACAAGTTTTGAAATTCTTATACTGTTTGCAAGAAGAAACTCTGGAGGTATTTATTTTCAACTTGTGAATTTTTTCCTAATAAAACTGGTTGTTTGTAATAACAAGAATCTTCGCACATAGAAATATGTTTTTGGTCACCAGCTTATACAATACAGTGTGTTGAGAATTCTGTTTGCATAGAGCTGTAATTTAGTAGTAATATCTCAGGAAATGGCTTAAACTACACCTGTAAGTGTTGATAAAGAAGCCTTAAGAGTTTCATGTTCTATGTTATGAGGTAATAAATGAAAATTAAATATTCTTTAAGTACTTTAATTTTGGACATAGTCAGGAAAGAAAGTTTTTGCATCCATTGGTTATCTGATTAAATTGGTTTAAAGATATTTAGGTTTTACTTGAGTGAGCTAGGTTTTAAGATGTGATACTGAAAGATTAACAGTTTTGACATATGTTTGATGATCTGTGCAGCTCATTGGATTAAATACAGATGACAGCCAGTGTGTATTGTGTTTAAAATGCTTGTTGATGTACTAGTTAAACTTTAGATGGCTACGGATCAAAACTAGATAGTGAAGTAATAATTCTCATTGCAGATGAAAATGAATGCCTTCGAGACAATGGAGGGTGTGCTCGAGATGCACGTTGTATCAATACACTAGGCTCCTTTTCTTGTGATTGTGATGAAGGATTTGAAGGAGATGGTTTCCAATGCAGAGGTAATTATCTCAATTTTATCTGAAATGGTTAATTTTACAGATAATTTTGTTCATAGATAAAAATCACTTTGCTTCCCAATAGTCTATGTAATGTGGCATTTACTTACCTTTGTTTGTTTTTGATGATATAGTATTTTTTTACATGAAAGAAAACCCATTTTGATCATTTTTTTTTCTTCTGTACAGATGTGGACGAGTGTAGCCTGAATGGCCAGTTGTGTGAAAACGGTCACTGTCTTAATTATGCTGGTGGTTATCACTGTGATTGTGAGATGGGGTTTACTCTCCAAGATGGAGATAAAGAATGTATTGGTGAGAAAAACTAGCAGTAGACATACTGTGGCTTCAAAGATGGAGACAAAGCATTTATTTGTAAGAATAGTAATATATGTATTTAACTTGGGGCGTCTCCTATAAGATGGGGCAAACCAAATAGTAGTAAGCATATATTAGTTGGAGTGTGCCTTCCAAGTTTAAGAAAACCTGTGTGTTTCTAAAAATAGTAGTAGTAGACACATAGTTAGAGTATCCTTTCCAAAGCTGAGGGAAACTGTGTGTTGATAAAAATGGCAGTCATTATATTTTGATTTTGGTTTTCTTACCAAGATAATTCTAAGAACTTATGATTAGAAACAGAGTAGAATGTATAACAATATGTCAACCACACTATATCTGTTAAATCCAGTGCCCGTGAGGATACGACAGACAGCAGTGGTTAAGAGGCACGAACAACAGATGTTATGGTGTGAATTAAATTAAGTTAGTGATGTATAAATTACAGGTAAGAATTAATAATGCATGCTATATTAATTATTTCAACACCAATTATCATTATTTATATTTAAGATTAACCTTGTGTTTATAAAAATTAGTCGGAATAAAACAAGCAATCGATTGGTGAAGTTATTAGTTCATGTGGTTCCTTGTCTGAGATAAGGCAAGCCATGTGCTAGTACAAATAGCAGTTGGAGTATGCCCAATTAGATTTATGGCAGATATAACTTGAAATGCTAACTACATTATTGAGATAATATTTGCTTTGCTTCAAATAAAAAAATCACCTTATTAATCTTGAACTTACTGCAGGAAATTTGTAAGGGAATAAGACCAAATATATTGTAAATAAAGTGAAATGTTATTATTTTTCTGATGTTTAGCTCATAAGCCATACCTCCAGTAGTGTCTATTATGATTCTTACTTTTCAGTTCAATGTATTGTAATTAATTTTTTGCTTTATTCATGTCAGTAATTTTAGATATTTTACTCTCTAAGTGACCCGAAATATCCGATAAAAGTAGAATCTTACAGTGTAATAGTAATTTAAAGAAATGTATTTCTGCATGCAATGTTCAGATAATCATTTGTTTTACTAGTTTTACGTGTTGGAATATTTTACTGCTGTGTTAGGAAACAGTTGATGTTTTACTTAATCAATATCTTTTTTTTTTGTACCTTTTAGTGCTTACAGACATAGTTCTTTGTTGAAGGCAAAAAGCCAAAATCACTGTCTTTCAATTGGAAATAACTGAGTGAAGCTCTAACAAACATGAACCACAATAGTTTTGTATTTATGTGCTTAAGTTGCATTAATTAAATAATTCTATGACAAAAGTTGAAAAATTGCATGGTGTAGCTTTTGTTTGGTTGCTACTTTGAAACTAAACTTTCTCTTGTAGACATCAATGAGTGTTCAGAATTCCGCAACATCTGTGTTCATGGACGATGTGAGAATGAAATCGGAAAATACCGTTGCCAGTGTGACCCAGGTTATAAGCTAGACTTTAGTGGAGGTAATTGCACAGGTGAGCACTTTGTAATGATTTTCTACTTTCTGTGCTTTAAGGTTAGGGATTAGAATAAGTTTTAAGAAAACTACAGCGACATAACAATAAGGTAGTGTATATCCATGCAATATAACAGCAAAAATTTCTGTATAATTAGATCAACCATTTTATTTATTATAAAAAAATTGTTAACAATTTGAAACTTACAGTATTTTCACTTTTGGTGTTTGTTGATGAATATAGTCAGTTCATATTTCTGATTATTTAAAACATCGGTAAGAGATGATTAGTGTTTGTTGATGAATATAGTCAGTTCATATTTCTGATTCATTTAAAACTTCAGTAAGAGCTGATAGGTGTTTGTTGATGAATATAGTCAGTTCGTATTTCTGATTCATTTAAAACATTGGTAAGTGATGATTAGTGTTTGTTGATGAATATAGTCAGTTCGTATTTCTGATTCATTTAAAACTTCAGTAAGAGCTGATAGGTGTTTGTTGATGAATATAGTCAGTTCATATTTCTGATTCATTTAAAACATCGGTAAGAGATGATAGGTGTTTATTGATGAATATAGTCAGTTCGTATTTCTGATTCATTAAAACATTGGTAAGAGATGATAGGTGTTTGTTGATGAATATAGTCAGTTCGTATTTCTGATTCATTTAAAACATCGGTAAGAGATGATAGGTGTTTATTGATGAATATAGTCAGTTTGTATTTCTGATTCATTTAAAACATCGGTAAGAGATGATAGGTGTTTGTTGATGAATATAGTCAGTTCGTATTTCTGATTCATTTAAAACATTGGTAAAAGATGATTAGTGTTTGTTGATGAATATAGTCAGTTCGTATTTCTGATTCATTAAAACATTGGTAAGAGATGATAGGTGTTTGTTGATGAATATAGTCAGTTCATATTAAATTAACTATTAAATTAACATTATTTGACTTCTTCTCATTGTATAATTCACTGAAATAAAATATTTAAGGATTTAGTTTGTTAATATTTGTTGTTGTCTAATTAAACATTTTTAAATTTCTGTATAGATGTTGATGAATGTGAAAATCCACAATCATGTCAGTATGGCACTTGTATAAACACACCTGGCTCGTTTCGCTGTGAGTGTCCACCAAATTATGAAATTGCACTAAACGGCACTGCTTGTGTTGGTAGGTTCTCATATAATAAATTTTTGAATAGATTCTTAAATTCATGTATTTCCTTCTATAGTGAGCAATCTAGTTTTTATAGACAAATTAGTGTTGAAAGATATTTCATATGTTTGAATATTTCTCACTGTTTGGATAAATTATATTGCCAAATTACATGAGAAAAAAAAAGAAATTTGAAATATCTCTTATTAAGTTTTTGGTGCAGTTGTTTTCAATATATGTGTTTCTTGGTGAGTAATATATAATTTAGTAATATTCATTAGTTTGGCTCAGTTTTGCAACAGACTGTTAATTGATATCTCGTGGATTAACCAAGTTAATGTCCCTACAATTGATCTTTAAATCTGGATAATTGCATCTGCAATTAAGTGATTGAACCAAAACTGGGGTTTGGTAGATTAAATATGTTTTATTATTAGTCCTGTACACCAGATATAGATAGTTATTAGTCTGTATTTGTAAGAGTAAATGAAAAGTATATACATCTATTGTTGGGATGTTCCATTTTCAGCTGATATATATAGATATATATAAACAGATGCACATTAGGGAATAAATACACTTGTCAGACATTTCCAAATTCCCTATTAATATAATTCATTCATATTACAAATTCGTATTGGACATTGGATTGTGTTCCTTTTTTTTTCTTTAAAAGTAATATCTCGTACTTGAACATAAATCTTCACTAGCTCAGCAAAGGACAAATTTAAAAGAAAAGGAAAATTTTATTTCAGTAACCTTTAACTATAGGAAAATAAATGAAGTTTTCTATGTGTAAATAAAAAGGGTTTTGTCCAGTAAATTGATTACAAAGTTTGTAGCTCTAACTCTAGAAGATTTGAATATTTTAAAATCCGGAACACAACTTGAAGAAATATATTTTCTAACAAAATCACTCTAACTCTAGAATAGTTTTACTTCTTATAAACTGCAGCCCGGTTGCCTTGGAAATCCTGGTTCTGAACAAATACTCCAGGGGTGAGCATTGCTTAGTGATTCGTGGCCCATTATGTAAAATCATGCTTTGTTTAGGGCCTTTATGGTCAAATCCCAATATTCCGTTAGAGTAGCCTAAGAGTTGACTAGCTGCCCATCTTCTAGTCTATCATTTCAAAATTAGGGATGTCTTGCACACATAGCAATTGTGTAGCTTTATATGAGTATCAGAAACAAATAAAATACTTGTTTTAACAACTCTGAACCTGAAAAAATACTGGAATTTTGACCATTAGTCACAGTTACCAGCATCTCTTGTTGGTTACATTTCTACTTCGTGAACCTCCCCTCGATGGTTCAGCAAGTTGCAGCTTTGAACAGTTTTAACTGTGACAAACAACTAGCCTGGCACGGCCTGGCCTGGTAGTTAGGGAGCTTGACTTGTAGTCTGAGGGTCGTGGGTTCGAATCTCCATCACCGAACCTCCTCACCCTATTAGCTGCGGGGATGTTATAAGGTCACAGTCAATCTTACAAGTCATTGGTAAAAGAGTAGCCCATGAGTTGGTAGTGTTAACTATTTGCCTTCCCTCTAGCCTGTCACTGCTAAATTAGATGCAGCTAGCACAGATAGCCTTCATGTAGCTTTGCACAAAATATGAAACAAACTGCTAATTAAAATAACATAATGGACACATGATGTAAACTAGTTTAATTAAATATGTCAATTCTTTATAGTAACTTGTAGCAGAGAAGAAACACATTATTTCAATTACCGTTTGTGTGTGGGTGGGGGAGGTGACTTAATTTATTCCAACTTTTGATAAGATGACTGCTGTAAATTTTGCTCAATCACTACTATGTATTTGTATTTATAAACATATTTCTAGTTCTTAAAATTCTTATTGTTGATAATGATTGATTTTTTTTCTTAAGTTAAAGCTTGTTATTCCTAGAATGCTACAATATTATATATTTTTCTAAGAATTTTATGAAACTGTAATTTTCTGTTTTCATCATCCATTTATCCCTGCAATTAAACTTTCAAGTGGCAGCTCTTATCTTGGAATTTCACTACTTTTAAGAGTCTATTTATCTATTTGTGAAGAATTGACTTTGGAAATATAAAGACATCTTTCAGTCATTCCTCCATGTTTCCTAGAGAAAATAAGAATGATTTCTTTGATAAAAGAAAACCATTAAGAATTACTTAGTCTTTCTCAAAATAAGTTAACACTTCTTTATTTTAAGACTGGTAAAAAAATAATCAAGAAGCTTATGTGTGTAAAAGTGTACTTGATGATGGACAGTCACTTTTACTGGATCAGAGATAATTTTTATCAGGTTTACTTGGCTGAGATCATCTACTTAACTGTTTAAACTAATGTCAGACTTACTCGGAGTGACTAGCATTAGCCACAAGTCATCACCTGACCTACAAATGTAGGACACTGCTGTCAACATCACTGCACAAAGTAGAGCATTACAACCATACATTACCATGGGTGGACCAGGTGTTATCTAAAGAGAAGAACAAAGGCAGCTAGAATGAAAGGAACTTTATGACTTTTTTGACCATGTATTATGTTTAAACTTCACATCTCAGAATTACTGACAAATTTTTAATGATACCATATTATAATAAGGAAATAGAAACCACATAATATTATTGTATATTACAGAAACTATGTCAGAAATCCTAATGTGTATTGTGTTCAAATAAAAAGAATGCATTGATTCATTAAAAGGGTGTTTTAAATTTTAAGTCTCAGTTTTTTTCTCACATAGTTTTTTACACCAATTTCATGTTTTTAAACTAATAATAAAATAATATTACTTGGTGTAGAATTCAGTGTTTCTGTAATAATAAATTTACAATTCATGATATGATCAAGAAGTAATTGGGTTTTGAATCTATCAGTTCAGGCTGGAAAACATTATTGCATCAGTTAACTGTTAAAGTGTTATCCTAGAAAGAGTTAGAATAAAAGTTCCTTGCTACCCATATGAACATTGACTGTGGCTGTAAACAGTTGTTTAATACAGTACTTGTAAACAGTTGTTTAATACAGTACTTGTAAACAGTTGTTTAATACAATACTTGTAAACAGTTGTTTAATACAGTACTCGTAAACAGTTGTTTAATACAGTACTTGTAAACAGTTGTTTAATACAATACTTGTAAACAGTTGTTTAATACAGTACTTGTAAACAGTTGTTTAATACAGTACTTGTAAACAGTTGTTTAATACAGTACTTGTAAACAGTTGTTTAATACAGTACTTGTAAACAGTTGTTTAATACAATACTTGTAAACAGTTGTTTAATACAGTACTTGTAAACAGTTGTTTAATACAGTACTTGTAAACAGTTGTTTAATACAGTACTTGTAAACAGTTGTTTAATACAGTACTTGTAAACAGCTGTTTAATACAGTACTTGTAAACAGCTGTTTAATACAGTACTTGTAAACAGTTGTTTAATACAGTACTTGTAAACAGTTGTTTAATACAGTACTTGTAAACAGCTGTTTAATACAGTACTTGTAAACAGTTGTTTAATACAGTACTTGTAAACAGTTGTTTAATACAGTACTTGTAAACAGTTGTTTAATACCGTACTTGTAAACAGTTGTTTAATACAGTACTTGTTTTCAACAAACTTATGTATGAAGCTCTACTGCAGAAAATAGTATTTGAATAAATTAATAGAAAGGTTATCTTTCCCATAAAGACAAGAGAGAAGCCTCCTGCTACTTAGAAGTCAAAACGTATAATGGAAGGAGCTTCTGTCAAACTGATCTTGGAACTAGAATGACAAAAGCAACTTGCTGCTGTAGTGTAGGAAAAGGATGGGGTCCAAACTGTGACTTGTGTGTTTTCAAAAATGCAAGTAAGCGTACATGTGTATTACGTTAAAAAAATATACTGTTGATTAAGGAATGGTCTTTGTTTAATTTTGTAGAAATGTTCTCTGGGTAGAATAGGTATTAGAAGTAATATTTGTAAGTGGTGAAAATTGGTATTTGATGGGGCATCTGATTCCATACTAAAGATAGTAAGTTTTTTGCTGTTGTTTTTAACTCGGTACACAAATGAAAAGTAATATTGTACTTGAAAACATCATCGATTGGTACCTATGCCATTTAGATTTTTATGAACATAAATTTACTTAAAATGATGTTAAAAAGAAAGTGCTTGAAAATATTATATTTTCTGTTATAATAGAAGATCAAAGATTTAACTTAAAATTCTGATGTCTTTGTGACTTCTAGAACAAGTTGGATCCAGCAGCTGTTGGTAGTTTGAATATTGTAATCCTTTTTATTCACATTATTATAGATTGTTTTTTGTCAAGCTGCCTTGAGGTGCTAATTAGAGAAATGTATTAAGAGGGTATCTCTGGACTAGATTCTAAGGATTAACATTAAATCACATCTTAAAGTTTCTAATTAATTAATAAAAGATTAAACCTGTATCTTGGCATATCAGTAGGATATCAACAGTTTGGTTAACAAGATAAGAAATAGACTCAAGTTTCTTTGCATGTCAGTAGGAGGTCAACAGTTTGGTTAACAAGATAACAAGTAGACTCAAGTTTCTTTGCATGTCAGCAGAATATCAACAGTTTGGTTAACAAGATACGGAGTAGACTCAAGTTTCTTGATAAGATTAGCTGTAACTGAAGTAAATAGAAATGTTTGTGACAGTTGTGCTCTAAATGAGAAGGTGATTTCTCTCTCTATTTTTTTTTCATTTCATGGTACGTTAAAAACTAGTTCCTGATCCTGTATCAGAGGGTTCTTCATCTGTATTTCAGTTTTAAAAAATATCTATAGGATGGTCAGAAGTATTTTGAATTAACTAAAATAAACAAGTAACTTATGTGTGTTTCTTTGTAGTAATAAAACATTTTATGATTCAACTTTGCTGTTTAACTTCTCCTACAGCTGAGTATCATGATATTTGTCCTGTTGGACCAGGGTTTCGACCAAATACCTTGACAGTAATTATGGAAGGTAAATATTACTTACAGGGCATTATATTTGTTTAATTATGCATTTCATTCCCCCCTTAAAATGAAACTAAAAATGATCAAATTTTCAACCAAACCACTTTTTTGAGGTGTGCAGAAAGGACTTTTCTTAAAATGTTAGTCATATTTAAATATATGCTTCAGTATTTAAGTTAACATCTTTTTCATCTCATCTCCACTGTGTTTATGTTATTTTTTGTCTTTGTACTTTTAACCCATTGAATGCTGATTCACCATATAGGGGTACAGTCTGCCTCTGGCAGTTGAATGCAAGTGGGCTGTATACATTGTATGGCTCTCAAAAATTCTGTATGCATTTAAAGCAGCTGCAGTTAAAGGACTAAGTTAATAAGAATATTAAAACTTTCAATATAGTATCCATATCGTCATATTTTTGGTATTTGAATGTTTCCTATGAATTATACCAAGAAGGTATGCATATTAGTGTGTTTTTGGTATTTGAATGTTTCCTATGAATTATACCAAGAAGGTATGCATATTAGTGTGTTTTTGGTATTTGATTGTTTTGTATAAATTATATGAAAAGTGTTTTAACAATAAAAGAGAATATGAAAATGTGCATATTTTTGTTAGATATCAACGAATGTGAGGACTTTCCAGACATTTGCGTCAATGGTAGATGTTCCAACACCTTTGGCAGTTTTATGTGTATTTGTTTAGATGGATACCAACTTGATAAAAGTCACAGGAGTTGTATTGGTAAGTAGCTCTCTGTGTATTTGTATAGTTGGTACATGTGTAGGTTAAGAAACTGTATTTTGTAGTTTTCAAGCATCTACATTGTCAGGTACGGTATTTGTACAGTTGATAAGTGACAAGTTTATAAGTGTTTGTTTTTGTGCAAGTTACCAATATATTGTTAGTTAATTTATTCACATGGTTGGTATGTTGCATTGTTGTTAGTATATTTATACAGTTAGTGTAGAAATATGATTTTTGTTGAGTATATTTATACAGTTGGTGTGTCACATTGTTGTCGGTCAGTCTATTCATTACAAATGGGCAACAAATGTTTTCAATTTATTTTTTACCTTCTCGTAATAAATTACACTTTAGTTTATTCATTTTTATTGAAATAAGGTTTCAAATAATAGATTGGTCAAAATATTCACACATTTTACAGTTAACTATATTGTTGATCAGTATATTCTAATATCTAGTGACTAGATTGGTCAATATATTCACACATTTTACAGTTAACTATATTGTTGATCAGCATATTTGTATATCTAGTGACTAGATTGGTCAATATATTCACACATTTTACAGTTAACTATATTGTTGATCAGCATATTCGTATATCTAATAACTAGATTGGTCAATATATTCACACATTTTACAGTTAACTATATTGTTGATCAGTATATTCATATATCTAGTGACTAGATTGGTCAATATATTCACACATTTTACAGTTAACTATATTGTTGATCAGTATATTCTAATATCTAGTGACTAGATAGGTCAGTATATTCACACATTTTACAATTAACTATATTGTTGGTCAGTATATTCACTTATGTTGTAATCATCTGATAAATTAGTTATTCATAGTGACCCTTATAGCCCAAAGGTGTATCCAGATTAAATTAAGTTAATTTCATGGAAACACTTTGTAAGTTGTCCAAATTCACCTCTTTTATGATATTCACAAAACTATATAGTTTTTCTCATTATACTCACATATATTTCTTGACCTTTGACCCCCTATATTTCAACCCCTCCCAACTTTTATTACAGTTTAACATAAATTACTGTAAGATGTTTTTCTGTTACAAATATGCTTAAAACACTCAGTAAGTGATTAATTTGTATGTTAATATATTTGTGTATTTGTTAAATGACTAGGTTTATTTATATGACCAGTAAGTGATTAACTTGTAAGTTAATATATTTGTGTATTTGTTAAATGACTAGGTTTATGCATTTATATGACCAGTAAGTGATTAACTTGTAAGTTAATATATTTGTGTATTTGTTAAATGACTAGGTTTATGTATTTATATGACCAGTAAGTGATTAACTTGTAAGTTAATATATTTGTGTATTTGTTAAATGACTAGGTTTGTGTATTTATATGACCAGTAAGTGATTAACTTGTAAGTTAATATATTTGTGTATTTGTTAAGTGACTAGGTTTATGTATTTATATGACCAGTAAGTGATTAATTTGTAAGTTAATATATTTGTGTATTTGTTAAATTACTAGGTTTATGTATTTATATGACCAGTAAGTGATTAACTTGTAAGTTTGTAAAATTATTCTGTAAGTGATTAATTTGTAATTTGTAAGCACCTGACTCGTGAAAGCAGATTTTCTCCAGGCACTCAGGTTTCCCTCTGCATCAAAATTTCTAAGGGCATAGGATTATATTATCCCAGCCCCCTGAAAAGGGCTGTTAATCCAGTAAGTCCATCAGGCTCTCTTTAATTATAATATCTCTGTAACTTTAAAAAATTTTTCTTCTTTAAATTGATTAATTTTTCAGAAGTCTATTCAGACAGAATCGAGCTTATTCAGTCAGCATCTCTCTGCTCCAATCCTTGTTGACTGCTCTCTCCACTGATGTCATCACAACATGGACAAACAAATGCGCATGTTCTGCTCCGACTACAGAATGATGGTCTCTACATGGGTCTCCCAGCACGCTTGGGTCGGCATCTTCCTCATCTCCACATGTCTCTCAACGATCCACTTTATATGTTAAAATTAAATTAAGCCCAGTGGCTCTATCGAAATTCATTTGGCATTAACCTTTTCACCGACAGGGTGAAGAGAAGCAAAAGTTTTTGACCACCCTGGGTTGCCTTTAGGCCCCAAATTCTTTTTTGAGGCTTGAAAGATTTTTAAACCGAAATTCCTGCCACAAATGTTATTTGGTTTCGAATTCGTAAGTTAGTATATTAATGTATTTGTTAAATGACTAGATTTATGTATTTATATAACCAGTAAATGATTCATTTATCATGCTTGGAGACAGCTTGAATGGGTACCTGATGATGATAGAACCTTGTCAAAAAAGTTTATACATTTGCTGTTATGTTAAACTTATACTAAAGTTTTTCTTCATTATCCATTTGAGCCATCTCTACGCATTATTAGTCTCAAAGTGGGTTCCTCGTCATCAAATTTGGATTCATTTATAAGTTTGTATAGTCATTCTGAAATGTGATTTGAAGGAAGTCGTTAATTTGTAAAGGAGGGCCTAACTTCCAAAATCACTCACGTTATCAGGTTTCCTGATCTGTGGTTTTATGTGTTTTTTTAAATGTCATAACTAAAATATAGTATAATAAATTAGTTCACATAAAACATCCTTGTAGAAGTTTTGAAGATCCTGTTTTTCCTTGTGAAACGTCACATACTTGTACTTACGTTAAGGTGCATAAAATAAATGCAAAAAACACAAGTTTAAGAAATAATTTTCCATAATTTGAGGAAATACCTTTCTTTCCTCTACAGATATAGATGAATGTGAAACTCAGTCAGACATCTGTGGAGCAGGCACATGTATCAATAACATTGGAAGCTACACCTGTTTATGTCCTCCTGGCTTTGAGATTCTATCAACAGGAAGACCAACATGTATTGGTAGGACCATACTTCCTATTGTTGTAAAGTGTTCTTTTAAATTATTTGGTGAAAATAATGCAGAATTCAGTCCTCCTAATGACAAATCACTTTATTTCTTCCTTAACATTTGCTACAGGTTACTATCACTTTTACACAGTTGTAGGCCTAATTACACAAATAAAATTTTCACTTTCAACATAAATTTACTCGCTAATGGTACTGTGAATAATGTACAAATAAAATTACTTGTAGTTGTACAATTTCATGGCTAATCAATTGAGTAACTGAATATATATGTGTTAGTTATTGCTGACACGAACCACTAACTCTCCAATCACTGAAAGAACTAAAACTGGCTCACTGTTTCTTCATGTTTCTAGGGATTTTGCAAAGTGTACTGTAGTGGTATAATATTTCAGTGTATATAACCACGTAATATTGCCCAGCCATTAGTGCATTGTCCAATCAGATATAATAGGGCTAGCGTCTGATTCATTAACTTGTATGTTTAATAGTTACAAAACATGATTTTGTAAGTCACTTTGTTATGGTGAGTATCATCTAGAAGTTCTAGTAGCATAGCTATTGTGTACCGCAAAATAGTGAGTATCATCTAGAAGTTCTAGTAACATAGCTATTGTGTACCGCAAAATACAACTTATGTCCTTCCATTACTGGTTAGACTTTTGTGAAGAACTTCAGCTGCTTATAGCCACAAGATTTACCTAATTTTATATTAATGGGAAAAGTGAAGTGTGAAACCTAAAGAAAACAAACACTAATATACTAACAGATAATTGCTTGAGGATTTGTACCAGACAATACTAGAATATAAAGAAAGCAGGGCATGTTGTGACTGATTGTAATGTATTTTGTAATACAGCAAATGTTCATATAGTTTAAATTTTAGACAATCATGTTCATTATATTAACTTTTTATATATTTGTCAGCTTCAGTTCTTGTTGCTAATTCCATAAGTATTAGTAGTAAATGCATCTGATTTATTGACTATGTGTTGATTTTTCCTACAGATGTTAGAACCTCTTCATGTTACAGAGGATACTACAGAGACCCAGACACCAAGGAGTTTGTATGTCTACATTCCCTCATGGTAAATCAGACGAAGATGACATGTTGTTGTTCTGTTGGCCGTGCCTGGGGAGACCTGTGTGAACCGTGTCCCAGAAATGGCACAAGTAATGACCAGTCATTTTCCAGAGTTTACTTTTTAGACCAGAGTTAATTAACTTATAGATTATTTGGTTTGAAAATACTTCTTAGACCATATTTCATTAACTTATAGATTTATCAGGATCAACATTCATCTACAACTAAAATATTTAATTCAGTTATGTAATTCATATCTCCAGAGCTGATGGGCCTCTAAAGTTTTTAATTTTTTTCTTCCCTAAATTTACTACTGATTGAGTATGGAGTATACTTTCAATGTTATCAGAATAACTGATCTTTTTCTGATAAGAATTATAATGTTTTTTTTCATGTAGTTTAGATACGATTGTAATGGTACCTTTTTATTTGTGTCCTTTTGGTCCTCTATGCACAACAAACCCAAGTTTAGGTTAGTTGAACAGGTGTTTTGCTATTTCTTGGAGAAGAGGTAATTAGAGGTTTTATATTTGAAATTTCTAATAAATCATTGCAGCAGTAATAAAAAAAACAATTACCCACTTATGGACTTTTTGATGTTTTGAATAAGATTAATATATTACTTCCTGATTTTATTACATATTTCTAAATATGCTAAATAGCCCTTGATTTTCTGTAATAAGCTAAGACTATGTATTTGATTCAGTCTTTAGCTACTCACATAAAGTATCTTTTTTGTTCTATTTTGTATATTTTCTGACTGTTTTACAGAGGCGTACATGAAGTTATGTGAGGATCCCCGGACAAAACCTGCAGGTAATATAAAGATCTAAATTCTACCTAAATAAAGAGAGGTTGTTATGCAGATCATTTTTTAATTTTTGTTCATAGTATGAAAAATTGATTATTAAATCCAATAAAAATAATTTCATATAGAATACAGGTTCAAACATCCATTCCAGATTTCCACAGATTACTAGTTTCTTAGTCTTAAATCATTTTCCTGCTTTAGAAATATGTCAAAAAACAAAACATGTTATATAATTATATCAACAGTTTTAGAACTAATTTTTTACAAAGTAACAGATTGGACTTTTAAATATTTCACGGTGATGATAAAGGTAATGTCTCAGAAGTATTTCTTTCTGTAGACATGGATGAATGCAAAGCCATAATGTGTGAAAATGGGCGTTGTATTAACACTATGGGGAGCTTTGTCTGTCAGTGCTACGAGGGATACCGATATGATGAACGTATGATCAAGTGTGAAGGTATTCTAACTTGGAATTTGCATTTGAGTTGATAGATTTGTAGTTAATATCAGTTTAATTTTATTGTTAATCAGTGAATATATGAAATGTTTGAAAATATTAAAAACCATATACATTAATGGATACTAAAACAATAGTAGTGGAATAGTTCCATTGTTAATCTTTTAAAGTAATAAATCATATATTAATATTTTGGCCACCTTTTCTTGAAGGTAATCAACACATAAACAGCTCTTAGAATTATTCAAAAATTCTATTACAAGAGTAATGTGTATAGGAGACTTATCAGTAGTCTTAATTATGTAATGTATTTGTTTTTATGACATTGTGTGATAGAATGTTTCGAAGTGGAAACAGTTGTAATAATTAACAATATAACATCAGATAACTTGTATAATATCCAACGATTCTAAAATAAAACCATATTGATGATATAAGTTAATATGTGGATGTTATGATCATGGATAAATTATTTGTGTTTCCTCAGATAAAACAATAAAAACCTTATAACCTGAGAGCTTTTGAAAGGTGAACCTGAAGAAGAAAGCACTCAGGTTATAGGGTTTTTATTGTTTCACGTTAAGACTTCTTGAACCTACGTGTTTTCTGACGTCATCACATTTCGTCATATTACTGTATTGAATAAGCTGAAGGTATTAAATAAAAACATGTAACTGGTGAACTATTAAGACTTCACTTTGTGAGAAACAATCAAGTTTGGATACGAGTTTGATTTCTCTAAAAATTTATATTGATTGACTGGTGCAGACATAAACGAATGTGCAGAAAGACGAGAAATTTGCCAGGGACTGTCTCATTGTGTTAACACTCCAGGCAGTTTCAAATGCTATTGTCCTGAAGGTTATCAGCTGTCTTCAAACCGTAGAAACTGTACAGGTAAGTAAATGATACTTTTGTGTTTCTGTTAACCAAATGTGACATTGTAGTTATGTTACTCTTAAATGTAAGTTAATATAATGGTTTTTTTTGGTTTTTATATAATATGAAATTAGCTACGTTACTTGATAATTAGATAATTTAGGTTTGAAAAAAGGAGAAAAAATATATATGGGAAAATAAGTTGGGAGATAAGGCTTAATACTTTTCTCATAATTCTTATTTTTTATGCATATTTTCTTTTAATGAGGTCCTCCAGTAGAACAACAGTAAATTTACACACTTTCAATGCTAAAATCTGGGGTTTGATTCCCTGTGGTGGACACAGCAGATAGCCCAATGTGGCATTGCTATAAACAAACAAACATACCTCTATTAATGGGTGACATTATATTAAGTCAAGACATTTATTTTTTAAATCTTTTGTACTTTTAAGGCCACAGAATTACAGTGAGGTAAAATATTATTCAGCTGAATACTACTGAACATGCGTTTTCACGGGAAAAACATTACATTACAGGATTTTTATGACTATGTAAAGTCTTCATCTTTTATACACAACAACTGAAGTTTACTTTCTTTTGCTTTCTTATACATAGCTTTGAATTTTCTTTATGTTAAATTTGTTGCCTTTTCCTAACAAGTCAGACTGTACATTGAATATTCTTAGTATCATCTGAACTGCTTATATATTTGTTAGAAAGCTAAATAAAGTTTCAAATAGGCATTATTCCATTTTAATGGCTGGAGACGGCTTGAATGGGTAATGAAGAAAAACTTTAATATAAGTTTAACATAATGTACAACGTTTCGACAAGGTTTTGTCATCATCAGGTACTCTGTCGAACCATTGTACATTTGCTATTATGTTAAACTTATATTAAAGTTTTTCTTCATTACCCATTCAAGCCGTCTCCAGCCATTATTAGTCTCAAAGTGGGTTCCTCGTCATCGAATTATTCCATTTTGTTTCATTACAATATGCAGTGTAAAAAATCTACTTACCACTTATGAGCTGTTCTTGTTCATTATAGTTTGTAGTTTTGTTAGTGTTGTATTAGCTCTTGGTAATATGTAATGATTACCTGCAGGAAAATTTATGTATACCCTACTGATTCTTATACTCAATGGTTAATAAGTATTTATAGAAGTAAAAGAGTATTCAATTGTATTGTACAATTTTTACAATGTAACAAACTTTAAAATTTGTGGTGTCAATGTAGTTTGATTAGGAAACTAAAACTAAGATGCAGTCTTTGCTAAGCCTAAATGCTAAGCCTAAAATTATTTTTTTTACAGTTTCATGTAAAAAAGGTTTATACAATTGTGTTTCATGTGGAGTTTTGCTTTATTTAAATGGAGACTTCCCACATTAATAAGTCTCTAACAAAACCAAATACAGCATCATTTTTACTCACATTAATATAAACAAGATCGACAACACAGGTGGTTTTACTTTGTATGAAATACGGAACTTTAATGGCAAATTAACTGTGCCACACGTGGGCTAGAGCAGTGTTTCTCAACCTTTTCAGTACCAGGGACCACTTCGCTACATCTCTAAACTGTCACAGACCATTAAAATGTAGGTACAATGAATAAACCATTATGACTTACATATGAATATTATTTGTTTTTGTATAATCTCATCAACTGGCAAGGTGGTTGTGATGGATCAGTGGTTGAGAAAAGCTTGAAAATTCACTTCAGCATCAATCAAGAAGATAAACTATAGAGCATGATGTACCTAAGATGAGCTTCTAGTCTTAAAAGACTCGGTGGTTAAAGTGGGGTGGTATGCATACTGGTAAGGACAAAAAATATTGGTATGCTATACTAGTAAAAAGATGGTATTTGCAACCAAACACCTTACCCACATCTATTTGATTTTGTGAAAAAATATGTTTGGCTTTGGTGTCTGCAACTATAGTGCAAGTATGCTCCACTTCTACCCCTCTTCAAATGTGGACATGCTATCATCTTTTCCAAATCACTTTAAACACTGGTAATGCTGTCTTACTATAATAATGTTAATGAAAATATTTAGAATAGGTGTTGAGGTATATATATATATAAAATAAATAGCTTCAGTACTATTTATTACATTAATCGTTAATTGGCGATTGAAATCAGCACTACAAAACTATAATGAATTTAATATAAAATAAGCATTAAAATAATTTAGGTAAAGATTCCTTTGTCAGTTTTAGTCGCCACCTTAAAGTCATTGCGGGTAATGCTTGTGGTAATAGCTTCCAAGTGTGTTGGGGATATCCAATCTATCAGACAAAATCCAAACGCTGATTTTAAACTAGCCAGCAAACATGGAAAATAATTTAAGGGTATGGAGTTGAGTGCTTACACCCAGAACTTTTCAACTTCTACTGCCCTTCACTGTCTGCAGCCAGATGTGGGAAGACAGTTACCCTTAAAAAGTTCTTATTGTTTCTAAAGTAGAAATAAATCACCCTAAAATTTATACTGTATGAAACTCCCATTATAGAGTAACTTAATAGCATTAAAAATTATGAATAACTGTGCTATGTAATTAATACATGTGTGGTATGCACAAATCTCATTCTGTTATCTTACAGTTTATCTATATACATATTTTTAATGTATTTGCAATTTTCAGTTTTATTCTGTATTAACTTTACTTTGCAGATCAGACATTTTGGTTCAAGCAGTACAGTATTTTATTTGTGTTTTTTCCTCAAGAATAAATTGTACATGTTTTGGTGAAGGCTAGTCTAGTATCATTTTACTGGCAACAAACCTGTGTTGTGGTTTATTGTAGTGTCAGTTTGAACAAACTTTTCAGTGTACAAGATATTCACAGTTTTTGAAAAACTACAATTTTTAAACTGAGAGTATCATGTTCTTCATCCAGATGTGAATGAATGTGTAGACATATGTCAACATGGACAGTGTACAAACCTTCAGGGAAGTTTCCAGTGTACTTGTAATGAGGGTTATTATCTGTCACAAGATAGGAGAGACTGTCTAGGTAAGTGGTTGTTTTTTTTCGCATTCAACATCAAGTTATTCGTTAAACTTACAAAAGCTTATTTAAAGTTATGATTTTAAAAAAATTAATTCTGAATTTATTATCTGTTAGAAAAGAATCAAAACATCGTTTTTTTAAACATCCATAAATATTGATGCATCACTAACGTCTATGATCGTAGATGTTGATGAGTGCACTCGAAGACCTGGAATATGTCTTAACGGAACTTGTCAGAACACACCAGGATCTTACCAATGTACTTGTAACTCTGGATTTTTCATAACACCAGAGGGTGACTGTGTAGGTAAGGTATTAAGTGAAGTATAGTATTTTGACTTCAAAAAGTAATTGTGTATATAAGTAAGTTTGTACTCATATTCTTCATACAGAAACTATTTATATTTTGGATAATGGTAGTTTAATTATTACACACCAGGGATCAACTTTAAATGAGTGTAAAGATAGTGTATTAATTCTTGATCTCTAAACAAATGTGATTTAGATTTTTTAGTATCTTTCTAATGAGCAGAATGGAAATAGTATTAAAATAATCATATTTTTTTAATAGACAAGGATGAATGCCGCACCATACCAGGACTATGCCTGAATGGTCGCTGTGTTAATACCATTGGAAGCTTTCTTTGTAACTGTCAAGATGGCTATGAACTAAGCTTAGACAAACGCAACTGCATTGGTAAGCTATAATAATTAGTCAAATTTGATTATGTTATTTTGGTTACATTTTATTTTTCACAGTTGATTGTACATGAACTTAAATATTTATTGTTTTTGTTGTCATTGTCAATGATGTATATTATCACATAAGTCTAAGTATTAATTAATTGTCATTGTCAATGATGTATATTATCACATAAGTATAAGTATTAATTAATTATCAAATTATTTATTATTCATTAGACATTAATTACTTTATATCTGCTGTTGTCATCAGATAAGTCTTGAAAAGGACTGTTTGTGATAGTAAGAACCAGGATTTGTTCCGCGGTCTTCTAGTTCGAAAGGCTGGTGTGCTATCTTCTTAATTAATTAATAATTAGGCTTAGGGGATTATATAGGGTATAACTTTGACAACAGTTAACATCTTAGCGTTACAATCTCACAAAAAGTACTTAATTTCTATTTTTTTTTCAATAACACTTCTATGAATTTCTGTATTGTAGTTACATAAAAATTTCAAAATTATTGCTTTTTCAATATTGTTTGATAATTACTGCATTTATTTCAGTGTTCAGTAATAGTCACAAGTTTATATTCCTGCACCAGCATTCAGCTTTACAAGTAGAATTGATTTATATACCATTCTGTACATCCTTTGATCATGACTGTCGTAATCACTTATCCAAAATGGTGTCAACACAATACTATATTATCTGAATAAACAACATTTTTCCACTTGTAACTTAAAAAGTTTAATCCACCTTGCTTACAGTTTGAGTCCATTGAAAGTAATATATCCCATGTTTTTTAGCTAATATTGGAACAGTTCTTCGATGTACATGGACCAACCATTTTGGTTTTATACAACTAAAAAAAAATGAATCACAAAAAACAAACCTGATGACTTGTGAAAATTATGACAAGTTTTTATCGTGTAATGAAACACTTCGAGTCCTTTTTACTGTAGTCTTACCAATGCAGTGTCGTATCCATCTCAAGCAGAATTAACATCGAAATAAGCTGTAGTGGCAGTGTTATGCAACAAGCAAGTATACATGCTCTTTTAATTTTAATCTTATTGTTGAAAATATATTTTTTAACTTTTCACTGACTATGCATGAGTAAATATGTTACAAGAATTAGTAAAATAAACTTTACAGGTGGTTAGAGGTACTTTAAATATCTTTCAGGTCTTATCCTCCTTTTTTAACTTGCCAATTCCCATATGTATTACAAATTCAGTCTTTTCAAAACAAAAGCTGGATAAAGTCGAGGGTACACAAATCAGTCACTCTGTTTCTTCTCTCAGACATACTGGTTTGTGTTTAAGGATACATTAATTATTCTGTCTGTTAATAGTATATTAGCCTCCCAGTGGTACAGCGGTATGTCTGCGGACTTACAACGCTAGAATCCGGGGTTTCAATACCCGTGGTGGGCAGAGCACAGAAGGCCCATTGTTTAGCTTTGTGCTTAATTACAAACAAAAAAACAATAGTATATTGACAAACAATGATTTATAAACCATTTCATTATGCTTATAAATTGTTGTTTGTTAACTGATTATTATATTAGTGTAATGTACTTCCATACACGAGTATTCTCTAAGGATTTAGGCACAATTAAAGTCTTTCAGTTTCTTCTCAGTTATTCTACATGATACGGTTTGAGAGTATGTAGAGCATTCTTTTTCTTTGCGATTTCGGTAGCAGACATGTTTTGAGAGTACACATATCAGTCTACTGTGTTTTTACTCAGGTATATTGTACTGTACAGAATTTGGGGATATATACAAGCTAATTGATCTGTTTTCTCTTTGATTTTATAGTGGATGCAGTTTATGTTAAACGTTGTTGTCATGTTTTTGATATTTCATTATAGATACAGTTTTAGGGGTACACATATTAGACTTTTTGGATTTTGTATTGGGCACAATCTGTTTGTGTATTAATCATTCTGTTTTTTTTCTTCTCCTCAGATGTAATAACCATTTTGAGAGTATACTAACCAGTCTTTTATTTGTTATCTTTCCAGACGTAAATGAGTGTGAAAAGTTTGATTATTGTTCAGAGTGGACGTGCCAGAATTCAGAAGGATCATTTCAGTGTATTTGTCCTGATGGCTATATTGTGACTCCAGATAAAAAGAACTGCCAAGGTTTGTGTACTTTTTCATTTTTTGATGTTCTTTTATCTTGTATCATTTGAGATATTTATATTTTTAATTTGGGAGTAAGGTAAAAAACAAACAAACTAGAAACGTTAGTATAAACGAAACCTGGTAAATGTAAGTAAAAAACATATTTCTTTTTTACATATTGAAAATAGTGTTTTTCTAAGTTATGATTTTAGAGAAAAACTGTACTTTTTGTGTTATGTTTTTTTACTTAGATTGCATAACTTGTATTTAACAGCTCATGTTTTAGAGCTAATAAAATAATTGAAATAAAGACTTCAAGTAAAAAATCATTACAATGTATTTTTCTAAAATATAAATGATTTAAGAAAGAAACTATTTAAAACAAAAGATTTATAAGTGTAATTGCTTTTAAAACTCATGAATTTAGATATTGATGAATGCCAGACCATACAGAATGCTTGCCATGAAGGAATATGCACAAACACACCGGGAGGATACTTATGTATATGTCCAGTTGGTTTCAAAGTGTCAGATGATGACATGGAATGCATTGGTAAGACACAACTTTGTAATTTTAAATTTTCTTTCAAAGTGTCAGATGATGACATGGAATGCATTGGTAAGACACAACTTTGTAATTTTAAATTTTCTTTCAAAGTGTCAGATGATGACATGGAATGCAT